AGAACATGCCAGCCAAAGCATAGTCAATGTTGTTGTGGGCAGCCAGTGCATTACAAGAGAGAGATGACCATGACAACCAAACCATGGAAGCTATCAGGTTGTGATTTTGATAAAGAATGATCAATGTAATTGTGGGTTGTCAGCGCTTAAACCACCACTTCCCCCGCCTGCCTGAAGTCGGAAGGACTGGTGGCAGCAGTGCAGAAGGGGTTCCGGTAGCACAGCGAGGAGAAGTAGGGGGATTTTTTTAAATATTTTCACTTCGGTAAGATAATGGCAAAAATGTTAGGAATCAGCGAATCATTGATATCACAGTTCATACATTTCTGTTCGTTTTTCTGATATTTTTCCTTACAAGATCGCAATTTAATATTCAAGATGTCAATTTTTTGACATGAGTGCCACAAGATCATGGCAACACCTTGAACCCAAACCCGAAGTATCAAATTCAGTTGCTTGTCCAAACACAAACACTGACCTATGACCCATTTCCAAATAATGGAGCATTTCAGAGGAATTAGCAGGGTCAAACCTCCGATGCTGACCCTCATGAAACTGTGACACTTAGCCTAAACTATATGTTTGGCCCAAAGATCTCTATAGGTCTATTGACTCAAACTATCACGACCACACCTGCAATCGAAACCCTGTTACATACATCTCACCAGCACCCTCATACAGACCTTTGACACATGGTTTCCACGCCTCAGCTACAACCCCTAATCTAGAAAAGGATAGTCTACCCAATGCATCGCGAGCGAACAACTAAGCATAAAGCATTGCCAACCAAGCATTGCAACCAAACCTGTACCCATACCCTTAAGTGACTGGGAACAAATGAGGACTGCCCAAGGATCCAGGTTCAACTGGGTGACTGAAAGATATTGTTATGACAACCAAATCATGACAACCAAATCATGACAACCAAATCATGGTCATGCCTTCATCGCCTGCCTAAGGATGAGAACAACCATACCGTATAGAGCAGTCTTCCACATCCATAAACAACAAAAGATCATGCCAACCAAAGCATGATCAATGTTGTCGTGAGCTGTCAGCGCTTAAGAAGAGGAAAGCTACGGAAATGAAACCATAAAATCATTCCTCTCAACCCAACTGGAATCGGAACCAGACGTGAAACCGAAACCCGAACACTGACCTGTGACACTGAGCCTAAACTTTAACAGTTGACGTTGACACAGACCTTTGACCCAAAGATTTGCATACGCTTGTCGACTCAAAGCATCACGACTACACCTGTAGTCGATACCGTATTAGACACCTTTGACGAACACCCCTACACAAACCTGTGACGCTGGACCCAAGGACTCAAAATCAAAATAACCTGTAACCCAGAATACAACAGTTCCCCCAAAGCATCGCGAGCAAACCACTGACCATAAAGTCACACGACAACCCTGTACCCCCCCCCCCTTCAGTGACTGGCAATGAATGAGGACTGCCTAAGCAGAAAGTAATCAGCAGACCTGTGACTCTGAACCTAAACGATATCATTTAACCTTCACACAGACCTTTGACCCGGGAATGTACATACTTNCCTAAGCAGAAAGTAATCAGCAGACCTGTGACTCTGAACCTAAACGATATCATTTAACCTTCACACAGACCTTTGACCCGGGAATGTACATACTTTAATTGGCTCAAGGCATCACGACCAGGCACAAACCTATAACATATAGCTGGGTAACTGAAAGACATTGTCATGACAACCAAGTCATAGCCATTCCTTCAGCGCCTGCATAAGCATTAGAGCAACCATGTCATCCAAAGCACAATCTTTCGTGGGCTGTCAGCGCTTATGAAGAGGAAAGATATGGAAACCAAACCATAAAACAATTTCTCTCAACCCAACTGGCATCAGAACCAAACGTACGGCCTAAATTATTGAGCCTAAATTATTCCACTTCACCTTGACACAGACCTTTGGCCCGGAGCGAAAACCGTATTACAGACCTGTGACGAACATCCTGACACAAACTTGTGACACATAGCTTGGTAAATGGATGACATTGTCATGATAACCAAGTCATGGTCATGCCTTCAGCGCCTGCCTGAGGATTAGAACAACCATGTCATCCAAAGCATGGTCTTTCGTGGGTTATCAGCGCTTATGAAGAGGAAAGATATGGAAACCAAACCATAAAACAATTCCTCTAAACCCAACTGGCATCACAACCAAACGTACTACCTAAATACTGAGCCTAAATTATTCCACTTCACCTTGACACAGACCTTTGGCCCGGAGCGAAAACCGTATTACAAACCTGTGACGAACATCCTGACACAAACCTGTGACACATAGATGGACAGACCTTTGACCCAAAGATTTGCATACGCTTGTCGACTCAAAGCATAACGACCACATCTGTAGTCGATACCGTATTACAGACCTTTGACGAACACCCCAACACAAACCTGTGACGCTGGACCCGAGGACTCAAAATCAAAATAACCTGTAACCCAGAATACGACAGTCGACCCAAAGCATCGCGAGCAAACCACTGACCATAAAGCCTCACGACCAACCCTGTACCCACCCCCTTCAGTGATTGGCAATGAATGAGGACTGCCTAAGCAGAAAGTACTCAGCAGACCTGTGACTCTGAACCTAAACGATATCATTTAACCTTCACACAGACCTTTGACCCGGGAATGTACATACTTCAATTGGCTCAAGGCATCACGACCAGGCACAAACCTGTAATACATAGCTGGGTAATTGAAAAACATTGTCATGACAACCAAGTCATGGCCTTGCCTTCAGCGCCTGCCTCAGCATTAGAACAACCATGTCATCCAAAGCATGGTCTTTCGTGGGCTGTCAGCGCTTATGAAGAGGAAAGACATGGAAACCAAACCATAAATCAGTTCCTCTCAACCCAACTGGCATCAGAACCAAACGTACGACCTAAAATACCGAGCCTAAATTATTCCACTTCACCTTGACATAGACCTTTGACCCGAAGCGAAAACCGTATTACAAACCTGCGACGAACATCCTGACACAAACCTGTGACACATAGCTGGGTAAATGGAAGACATTGTCCTGATAACCAAGTCATGGCCATGCCTTCAGCGCCTGCCTAAGGATTAGAACAACCATGTCATCCAAAGCATGGTCTTTCGTGAGCTGTCGGCGCTTATGAAGAGGAAAGATATGGAAACCAAACCATAAAACAATTTCTCTCAACCCAACTAGCATCAGAACCAAAGAGCCTAAATTATTCCACTTCACCTTGACAGAGACCTTTGGCCCGGAGTGAAAACCGTATTACAAACCTGTGACGAACATCCTGCCACAAACCTGTAACTCATTGCTTACAAGCCTGAGTTATTATTAACTCGTAACCTATACCCACACCCTTCACTGACTGCCAATGAATGGGGACTGCGACCACACCTGTAAAGAAGACCCTATTACAAACCTGCGAGCAGCATCCGGACACAGACCTGTGACACATAGCTGGGTAAATGGAAGACATTGTCATGATAACCAAGTCATGGCCATGCCTTCAGCGCATGCCTAAGGATGAAAACAACCATGCCTTCCAAAGCATGGTCTTTCACATCCATAACAACAAATGATCATGCCAACCAAAGCATGATCAATGTTGTCGTTGGCTGTCAGCACTTAAAAAGAGGAGAGACATGGAAACCAAACCATAAAACAATTCCTTACCCAAGTACAATCAGAACCAAACATACGACCTAAAATATTGACATGGTTATCATGACAGACGAACCTTGACACAGACCTTTGACCCAAAGTGAAAACCCTATTACATACCTGTGACGAACATCTTGACACAGACCCGTGACGCATAGCTTAAAAGCCTGAGTTATAACCCGTAACCCAAAATAGCATAGTCTACCCAGAGCAAACCGCTGACTATAAAGCCTCGCGACCAAACCTGCACCCACACCCTTCACYGACTGGCMATGAATGAGKACTGCCTAAGGATTGATGTTSAGYTTGGTAGGTGACAGACATTGTCATGATAACCACGTCATGGTCATCCCTTCAACGCCTAAGGATGAGAACAACCATGCCATCCAGAGCATGGTCTATCACGTCCATTAAACAACACAAGATCATGCCAACCAAAGCATGATCAATGTTRTCATGGGCTGTCAGCGCTTCAGAAGAGGAAAAATATGGAAACCAGACCATAGAACAATTCCTCTCAACCAAACTGACATCATAACCAAACGTACGACCCAAACTCTAACAGTGACCTGTGATCCGCAGGCAATACAATAGGGCAATTGAGAGAACCTCCGATGCAGACCCTCATAGACCTGTGACCCTGAGCATAAACTAATACCGGTTAACCTTGACACAGACCTTTGGCCAAGGAATTTATATACTTCAGTCCCTCAAGGGATCTCAAGGGATCACGACCACATCTGTAATGAAAACCCAATTACAAACCTGTGACWAACATCCAGACACAGGCCTGTGACGCATAGTTTCAATCCCTGAGCTCTGACCYATAACCCACATCAGTTGACTCAAATCATCACGGGCACACTTGTAATGAAGATTAATCAGTTGAAAAAAATCATCACGACCACACCGGTAAAGAAGACTCTATCACAGACCCGTGACCCGACCGTGACACAAACCTTTGAAGTCTCAACCTTCACCCAAGATTCGAATAGGCCATTTGACCCAAACCATCATAACACGACCTTTGACCATAACCCAAGCCATCACGACCAGACCCCGAGATCCGAATAGGCCATTTAACCCAAACCATCACAACAAGACTTTAGACTATGACCCAAGCCATCATGACCAGACTTATGACTCAAACCCTGACCCCGTTAAATAGAAATCATCACCACCCTAAAAAGCCTCTAACACAGACCCTTAACCCACTCAAAATACGTCACTTGACCTAATACATTATGACCAAAACTGTAATCCAAACCCAGTTAAAAAATAGTGACCTCAACATTTACATTCACATGTAACCTGGACCCTTACACAGACATGTGACTGAGAGGCAACCAGACCTCTGGACCCTTACACAAACATGTGACTAAGAGGCAACCAGACCTGTAATCCAAACGCTGTTACAGACTTGTGGCCCACTCCTTCATACAAACACTTCACCCCAAACCCAAAATAAGACACATCACCCAACGCATCACTACCACACCCTTAATCCAACCCTTGTTACAGACTCCATCACACATCACCCAACGCATCACTACCACACCCTACCCTTAATCCAACCCTTGTTACAGACTCTATCACAGACCACACCGGTAATCAAGACTCTATCACAGACCTGTGACCCAGACCGTGACACAGACCTTTCAAGCCTCAACCTTCACCCGAGATCCGAATAGGCCATTTGACCCAAACCATCATAACAAGACCTTTGACCATAACCCAACCCATCACGACCAGACCCCAAAATCCAAATAGGCCATTTAACCCAAGTCCGTGGTATATGTTCCTATCAGGAGCTCCAGTCCGTGGTGTATGTTCCTATCAGGAGCCCCAGGTCGATGTTCCGTGATTCCCGGTATATCAGGAGCCCTCGTGCTTAGTCCGTGGTATATGTTCCTATCAGGATCCCCAATCCCATGTTCCGTGATTCCCGGTCCTGAGTTGAATTCCCCACTCCAACTGCGGACTCACATACTTAAATCGCATGGACCATAAAAATAGCACTTTAGTCACAAGCACTATATGGAATATGGTGAAGAAAACGGTATGTGACTGACCTTGGAAACAATAGCACGTCTTAACTGCCGACTTGGAAAACCGATAGAGCTATTGTTACGCATGGAGAGATCAATATGAAAAACGCGGTCCACACAAAAAAACGAAAACCTTAGCACACTGGTATAGTAACAACAACTCACTAAATCCAAGAGCACAGTCCAGAGACCAGTATGAAAAACGAACACAAAAAAATAAATTTAGAGGACATAAACAACTATCATATGCTCGATTGATTCGCAATCCAAAACTCCATTCAAATGTTCACATACACATGTGCAATGATCTCTCTCTCTCTCTCTTTCTCTCTCTCTCTCTCTCTCTCTCTCTCTCTCTCTCTCTCTCTCTCTCTCTCTCTCTCTCTCTCTCTCTCTCTCTCTCTCTCTCTCTCTCTCTCTCTCTCTCTCTCTCTCTCTCTCTCGCCACAGAGGATCTTGTTACTAATCACAAAAGTTGCATGGTCTTACAGAAGAAGTAAACTTAAACTGATCGAAGATTGTGTTTCACACGACAGACAAACGATCGAAGCAGTGAAATTTCGTGATAATGAAAGCCATCTAATGACAACACAGAAACACACACACACACACACACACACACACACACACACACACACACACACACACACACACACGCGCGCGGAACAAGGATGGGCAAGCAACACGAGCACGACAAATTCACTGAAGAATCTTTAAGCAAGATATACAAAATGATCGTCAGGAGCAAGCAGAACGTGTGCACGCGCAGACTAAGACGCGAATAGCACATAACACAGCACCCACATGATGGCCATGTCATACACATCACAAACCAGAGCAGAACGTTCTAAGAGGCCAATAGCAGGTAACAGTTCCGGGACACAGCATGGAACACAAAACGAAAATGGTCCCCATCAATCCCGAATCCCAACCCCAATCCTAGTCCCATGTTCCCCGATTCCTGCGCCCGAGTCCAAATTCCCAGTCCAAGCCCCGAGTCCCAATCCCGATTTAACAGTGACATCACGTCATTCCAGCTCAACCTCACAGAGGCAGGGGAGCATCGGAGTAAGCAATGTCGGGCATACTACTGCTGTTACTTTTCACAGCTGATTCAGCAGCTAAACTACCGCTGGCAGTAGACCCTCTCCATAATCACACAGACACTCATGCTGACTTACACCAATCCTGTCGTCATTGGCACATACACTAAGTTCCAGTGCAGAGTCCGAGTCCCGAGCACGAGGTCCGAACTCCCTGTACCAGTCCCAATCCCAAGTACCAATCCCAAACACAGACCAAGATAATCAAAATAAACAGAAAAAACGGTGATAACTATTTTAACTGGCATCGTATTGAGGCGGGGGCAAGAACGGTGGTCACAACGACAATGTACAGAAGACTCACAAACAGTCACCCTCAGTTGTCCCAATCCTCTCGTCGATGGCACACCCCCACTGTGAGTAGTCGGAGTCCACTATGAGAGTGGAATGTCAAAGTTCAAGGTCGCATGATCCTAAGTCGCAGGTCGTAATCCCAAGTCCCAAGGTCCAGTTCCGAATGCCAGTCCCATATTCGAAATAGACACGCAGTCCCCATCCAAGTCACATATTCCAATCACAAGACCCAGTCCCCATCCCTGTCCCATATTCCAATCATGCATCCCAGTCCCAAGTTCCCGTTCCAAGTCCCAATCCCATATTCCAATCACAAGGGCACAAGGTTCTTGCGAACAAGAAATCATTGCAAAGAAAAACAAGCAGAAGACGACAATGAATCCAAGTTCAGACCTAAGTCCCAGACCCAAGTCCCATACCCACGTTCCAAACCCAAGTTTCAGACCACGTTCCTAGTCCGAAGTCTTAATCCCACATCCCAGTCCCATGTCACAGTCACACGTCACAGTCCCAATGAACAACTCAAATCCCGGACCTAAGTCTAAGTCCCAACTCCCACCCCCAATTGTCCAGTTCCAGCCCCAATTTGCGAGTCCCATTGAACAGTCCCGAGTCAGACTCCCAGGTCACAGGCCGTAGTCGCAGTCCCAAGTCATAGTCTGAAATCAGTCGCGAAACAGAGTCCGAAATCACAGTCCCAATGCCCATTCCCAAGTCTCAGTCCCGGTTCCCAGTCTCGGGTCGCCGTCCCCAGTCCCAGTCCCAAGCCACACTCCCAGGTAAGTCCTACGAACTCACAGTCCGAAGTCATTGTTCCAAGTAACTGTCCCCCGTTAGCCTCGGCCACCTTCAACACCTCCCCCTCCTCCCCTTCCACATCGCGTCCTCCCTGTCCGCCAGCGCCCTCCACTAACTTCAGAAGCGCCCTCCTCCCCCTTAGTCAACACCACAGTTGAGCTACAGAGAAAATAGTGGACTTAAAAAACACAAACATGAACAGATGTAGTGCAGCCTCACACGCGACAACATACAGCGTACAACGCATACTACAGAGCAAACCACAGCAAAGACAACACATATTAACAGCAACAGGGCACAACACACACACGATCACGCACGCCACAACACAGAACACCAAGAACGACACAGAATACACAGGACAGTCAATATGGGAGTGAGGTCCATTAAGCACAAGACATTACGCACAATACAAGGAACACTGGTGCAAAGCAAAGGAACGGCTGACTGATTTCACGCAGCTTACAGTGCAAGGCATGACTCACACAACAACGCACAACATAGACCGCAAAGCAGGGAATTAGAAAGAAATGAGATGAGGAAAACACTGGTGCAAAGCAAAGGAACGGCTGACTGATTTCACACAGCTTACAGTGCAAGGCATGACTCACACAACAACGCGCAACATAGACCGCAGAGTAGGGAATTAGAAAGAAATGCGGTGAGGAAAAAAAACGTAAGGACAAAAATGGAAAGAAAGTTGTTACCTCGTGGGGCACAAACGAAGAAGACAACAACACAAAGGAAACCAACGGGCGAAATCCTTATCTCCTTGTCCAAAGACTTCTGCATATAAAGAAAATAACAGAAAACATATTCCAAACAATTCGTACTTGTTTAAAAGAGATGCAAAATAACAGAAAACATATTCCAAACAGGAAACATATTCCATTTAAAAAAGATGCAAAATAACAAACGTAATATTGTGTAATTAAGCCGAATTTATGAAAATTAAATGCATAATAAATAGAAAACCAGAGTAACTTTAGCTGACAGATAGAAGCAGCAAATTCTGAGGGATTTACAAAGATTTGGAAAATAAAAGGGTAAAGAAAAGCAAATGACATATATTTCATTTTTCCACCGACTATTAAGTTATTCCGGAGAAAAAATGTACTGATAAGGACACCTCATTCACAAAAATCAATAACATTGGCAGAAAATAAGTTCCATGGTTAAACAAAAAAAAGAGATGCGATTTGATTTGTAGTAGATGGGAAAAAACCCGGCCCGGATCTTATCTTCACTGGCGATGTGTTTGATGGAGTGGAAAGAAAGGTACAAGGGGCGTCTTTGCTTTGGATGGATGTCTGAGTGGTTGAAGGTGGCTTCGCTCTCCTTCTCCATCGCGATACGTCTCCCCTGCCCTTCGCATCCTCCTCCGTCGCTGCAATTACTCTCCTTCCGTTCCGTCGTTGCTCTTCTACGCCATCACCATCCTCCTTGGCCACAACCTTCTCCGCCGTCGCCCTTGTCCTCCATCGCCTATATCCTCCCCACAATTGGTCACGTCAACACCCGCCGTCGTTGGGCCACTCATTTGCGACGGTGACCGCTATCCTCTTTCTTCTCATCTTTGCCCTCTCTTTGTTGCACGTCGCCCACATCATCCTACCAAAAAAACTTGCTCAACGAAAAAAAGGCCTTTTCCTCGTCCTTGTCCTACGCTGCTCCGTCCTCCACTTCCTCCTCTTCTTCCTTGTCCTGCTTTTCTTCCTCCTCTTCTTCCTCCTCTTCCTTTTCATCCTCTTCTCCTCCTTCCTCCCCTTCTTCATCCTCTATTCCTGCTGCCATGCCAGCCCCTCCTGTTCGTCGTCCTCCTTTTCGGGCCTCAGCCTTCTCCTCCTCTTCCTCCTCCTCTTCCTCCTCCTCCCCCCCTTCCTGCTGCCACGTCAGCCAAGCACGTGGATGAATCCAGCCCAGGCTGAATCCAGTCCAGGCTGAATCCAGTCCAGGCTGAGAGTCCATGGTCATAGTCTGAATCCAGTCCAGGCAGAGAGTCCGCAGTCGAAATACGAACCAATTAACCACACACTGACGACAATGAAGGAGTTCCTACAACTGGCTGCCCACTGGGAAACGGCGCTGCTAAACTCACCGAAAAGAAGAACTTCAATGCTGACAAAGAAGGACAGCACAACACCCAATGAAAAAACGGGGATGACAAAGAAGGGCAGCAGTCCCAAGTTCACAGTCCACGGAAGCGAGAGATGTGGCGGGCTCTTCGCTGGTAAAGATGCAGACAACACTGACCCGAAACTGCAAAGATATATTAACATACACACAGAAACGCCACGTAAAGTCAGGAAAGAAACAATCAAGGCAACACACAAGAACATTGACCCTAAACTTAATAACGACGAACTGGCAAAACACTGACAAATGGTTGTTAGGCCCAAAGTTTCACGCACCGACTGCGCACAAGGTACATAAGGGGACAAAAAAGACAAAACAATCAAAAGGAGGGCGAGGGGGGGGGGAGGGTGGTGGATTCAAACAACAAAGCGAAAAAAGTGAGGCACAGGCATCCTAAGACGCAAAGATTTTGATGCAGACATTGCAGAGGTATGACAACCAAGCCATGTCCCAAGAGCAAGACGAACAACAAAAGAAAAACAATGCCTCAATCGAGGATGCAGAAGACCATACCAACCGAAACATGGTTGAATGATATTTTGGTTATTTTTTTGACCGAGTAGTGTACTGGTTGGTTTATGAGTGAGACAGTGCGGTCAACCGTATGCAGGATCGTTCTAACTGTTTCATGGATAGTTTATTATTTGGGTCTACGACCAACAGTTATATTGTGCGACTACCCGAACAACTGCTAAAGTGAGTAACTGACGGATGGAGATTCTCAATTTGTAAGAACCCAAAAAACTGTTCAGGTGGTCACTATGTGAAAGTCACAACCCAAACAACTGTTCAGGTGGTGACTCTGTAAAGGTGACAACCCGAACAACTGTCCATGTCACTGACCTAGAGACCAAGGTTCTCAATCAGAGTTTGTATGAATGGGGGTGAAGGATAAGGCAATAGATTGGTGGTTTTCAGATTCGGGAATAATTATGTATATTAGGATGGCAAAGCATAGCACAGCAACGCATACCAACCAGTACATACCCACAACAATGACGAAGAACAACAGCGTATCGCCAAAATACAACATGGCATGGCAAAACACAGCACAGCACAACAGAAAAGCATAGCCTCCTGAACCATCCTCAAGCATAGCATCAACACAGCGAAGCATACCATAGCAAAGCACAGTGAAACATTGCGTACAATAGCAAAGTCTGGCATGACCAAGTACACCATAGCAAAGCATAATATCATGACCATATACAGCACAGTGAAGCATTCCAGATGGACTCACAATCCAGAAACCCAGTCGCACTGTCCCTATTCCTGAGTCCTGAGTCCACGTCCTTTTCCCGAGTCCCAATCCCAGTTCCAGTTCAACTCCCGGATACGAAGGCCCAATCCGTTTCTGAGTGTGAAAGTCTTAATCCCAATCCCGATTCCACATCCCAGTCCCGAGTCCCAATCCCAGTTCCAAGATATACAGTTCCAATCCCGATTCCACGTCCCAGTCCCGAGTCCACGTCCCAGTTCCAGTTCAACTCCCAGTTCCAGTTCAACTCCTGGGTACGTTTCTGAGTGTAAAAGTCTTAATCCCAATCCCGATTCACAGGTTTTCAACTTCCCAGTCCCAAGTCCCAAGTCCAATGTCCCAACACGAGATGTCCCAGAGGGATGGTGGTAGTGACAACGTACGAAACACGCACACACTCAAACCGTCCCAGTCTCCAGTCCCCAGAACACAATTCCTGTGTGGTCCCAATCCAGAGTCCGAGTCCCAACTCCCAACTCCTGAGCCCTAAGTCCAGGACCAGTGACGAGTCCCTAGTCCAGGGCCCAGTCCCGAGTTCAAATCCCAGTCCCAGTCCCCATCTATAAAAGCCCAGTCCCTTTCCAAGTCCGAAGTTCAAATCCCAATCCCGATACCGGTTCCGCCTCCAAATCCCAAGTCCAAAGTCCCAAGTCCCAACACGAGATGAAGACGCAGTGCAGTGCAAGGTGTTCAACACACAGACCACACACTTCAAACACAAAACGTCACAGCAGTTTACAGTCCAAAGTCCCAAGTCCAAAGTCCCTATCCCAAGTCCAAAATCCGAATCCCAAGTCCAAAGTCCCAAGTCCCATCAGGGCTAGTGGGGTCTCATTCGGCCAGCATCCCAGGTCACAGTCCCAAATCACAGTCCGCAGTTTCAGTCCCATGTCCCAGTCCCATGTCCCAATCCGAAGTCTGAATCCCGGTTCAATCGAGCCACCATCCCAGGTCACAGTCCCAAGTAAAGGTTCCCTGTCACAGTCCCAATTCACAGTCCTTTCTGTAATCCCTGATCACAGTCCTTTCTGCAAGGCACAGATGGCGTCTTCAAATTCGGAACTGTGGCCACCTAACAGTACTGTGCACATGAACACTGGGCCCGAGTCTGTGCAGAACTCACAACGCACAGGTGGAGCCGACACACAGCGGGCCCAGGGTTCATGTGCACGATACTGTCGAAGAACATCAGCACGCAATCACAAAGTCTGAACCTAAGAAGAGAACAAACAATCAACAGCCCTCCACAGTTAGAAAACAACAACACGTAATCGCAAATCACACAGACCTCAGAGAAACACGCATATTAGAGGAGAACAAGAAAAAACAAGTAATAGAAAGGACAAACGACAATGGAGAAAAAGAAAATAATGAAGAAGTTATACAAAGGAACAGGCTTTAGAGGAGGACGAGTGGCAGACGGATGGAGCAAGTTGAAACGGTCCGAAGTACCTTGGGTCATGCACGGCCATAATGAAGGAAAGCAATTAGAACATGGCATACTTAGTGGGCAGAATGCTTAGAAGTGAGCATGTAATGCGCAATTCGCACCAACAACCAAAAGACAGTGTGCTACATCACCACAATGGAGACAACACAAAATGAAAGTAGAGCACAGAACAGTGCACACAGCACACAACAAAATAAGAAGAGCATGGCAGACTGTGTGGGCGAGCAGACGAATAACAGCCCAAACAAGCACGTACCACATAGCGAAGACGAGCATACACCACACGACACACAGTTCATTGCAATCCACTGGACATACTGCACAACAAACAAGACATCATAGCCCAGAGAAGAGGCAACACTCCCCACAGACTATAGCATATCGCACACCACAACAGAAATATGAGCATATGCTACATACAGCAAACAGAACAGCACATGCCACATTTACAATCTGAGACATTATATCATGCACAACTAACGTGACTCGTGAGTCGGCCACTGCCTCTGGAAAAGCACCGTGCATTTAGGCAGTGAAATTGGGATACGGAATAAATAAAAAAAGAAATGTTAGGTTTATGAAACACAGAGGGAGTTACGCATGTACACCTGCCGCAGTCCCACCCAAATTATCATGCTCCAATCTTCATCCCCTATTCAGAGCCCCTGATGTGAGTCCCAGTCTTGAGAACCAAGGCCTGATTCCAAGTTTTGATTTTAAGTGCAGAATCAAAATCCCAAACACCTCTCCGGAGAGTGAGTCTCGAGTTTCGGAACCAGGGCTACATTGCCCGAGGGTTGGATGGAACTTGCTTGGGACGGACAAGGCAACAACCAGGGTCCACTCATGGTACATCAATTAGCAGTCGTATTGATGGGTCAACAATCAGGGGTCACTAAAACCAGTGTTAAGAACTGAACTGACAACTACCGTGTACAAAAAAGGGCGAGATACCCATCATCAGCTTACGAAAAACAAAAAATGGTGACATGTCCATCAGCATCTGTAGCATTGTACTGAGGCCGCTGAGCTTGAAAATGGGAAAGAGGTTTGGTTACAGACACCGACAGAAACATAAGAGCAAAGGCAAAAGAAACGACAATGAAAGACGTTGCTCCGGCCAGTGTCTAGTTCCCAAAACAGAACAAACGAATACCTATTGCGCGAAAGAAAAAAACGATTCTTCCAGAACATACGACAATTTCAAACGCTTTTTCCGAACGTAAATTCCAGAACATCGGGCAATTTCAAACGCTGGTGAGGGTAATGCAAAAAAAGAAAAACGCTTTGTCCAATAAACACGAGGCTGCTGGCAGGGTTGTCACGCGGGGATCCCCGGGGCCCAAGCCGGGGTACGGGTTTCACCCCCGGACCCCTGCCGCGGGGCTACCCGACCCCCGCCCCCGCC